ATCTGGTGAAAATTTCATGTCATTAGCACCTCTAGTAATATATTTACTGAGAAAAATGGTGACGTGTTCAATACTTATTTTACCCGCTGTATTTCCTGTTTGGTATAAAGTTTCAGCTGCCTGTGGCCTCCTCTGCCACAGTTCTTGTTTTTTCATGAGTCAAAGTCCAGTTTTACACTTGGATTATTTTACCACGCAGGCTTGTTCTGTTATGTGAAGAATATGTCAGAGAGAGAAAAAAAAGTTGTAACAAATATTTGTTAATGCAGCAACAGACTGTGTCAGTCCACTTTTCTGAACAGTCTGGAGTACATATGCAGTTAATATTTTTGTATTTGGCTAACAGAAATGGACAATGAACAGTTAGGGAATCTGGAAGTGTCTGCTAATGATGTGACATTCTCAAATTGGATTTTTTAATTCATAAATGTAAAAACTACCAGGTCCAGACCACAAAATAATACCCTAATGTGTAAAACGGCTCCTCCTGTGACATATAAAATGCACAGAAACAATACATATCTAAGCGTAAAGCTTAAATGTGTCTGGAGAAAAAAAACTAAAGCAGTGACTTATTCACAAAATATTATCCAGGTCTGCTCAGACAAACTCGGGGTTTTCTTGAAGAGGATGAGTGTAGACTTTTCAGCAAAGACCTGTCAGTGTTAGCAGACCAAAAAAAAAGCTGATATTCTTGTAAAACCATGCTCTGGGTTTTTCAGCCTGACATGTTTTATCCCTGAAGGAGCCCGTGACACTGTAGCAATGATGTCATCCCAGATTACCGTCTGCGCCGTGTGGATCGTAGCCTTGAGAGCTGYGCAGCCTCAAGTGGGTTAACGTCTGGTGGCTTCGGCGCTTCAGACTCTCCTCACCCGCYCTGACTCTCTCTCCTTCCCTCTCCTCCCACTCACGTTTCTCTACAGCGGGCTGTTGCAGCAAGGCAGCATCATGGAGGCTGGATGCGTGGTTGCCGCGGTGATTGAGAATGCTGCTTCAGGACCCCAGGGAGAACCAGGAAGTAGTGACGTCCTTGAGGGGTGAGTTGCTCCTTTTTTTYCCCTCCTCTCTCTTTATCTTTCTTCACTTCCATGTCAGCACATTTGGATTATGAGACGACAGTAAGGTGCACGCTGAGAGAGGAGAGTGTTTCTGGTGATGGACTTGTTTTATGCTTATACATGCATTTATGTTTACATCTGAGGGGCCGCAGGAGTAGAAACAGACTCGGTGCAGGTTTCAGCTAAAAACAAAATGACCCAGTTTGAGTGAAACAAAGAGACAAAYTGCCCTCCTTTATCYGCGTCTCTTCAGATTTTACACATCACTGTCTTCCTCACAGATTCACGTTGTGTTTCTGTAATCCGCTGTGTCACTTCAGATCACCTAAATGACAGCRTGTGTCTATGTTCCCAGGTCCTGACATCACCAGACYGAAGCATTATCTAAGCTCCCTCCCATCTTTGTTGCTCGTAAAACTTTGTCTGAAAGGACCTCACCCTCCACTCCACTGAATACATTGAGTCACATTTCAAGTGAAGGTTTTGTGAGCACTCCCTGTGGGTGGATTGGTTTTATGCCTCACTGAATAGATGAGCACTGAGTGTGCATAAAAGGACCCCAAAGCTTTTTTTAAATCACSCTAATTCAGCTGAGAATGTCTATATTTTGCAGACTTGTTCATACCTGACACTGAGGTAATTGATATTACTGGTTCTGAAATTCAGTGGGAGCATGTTTTCTGGGCCACACTGCTGCAATGTCATGATATGAAGCCACTTGATGACTCCTCCCTCACTTGCTCCATCTGGTGGAGTTTTTGCAAAGCTGCACATCCTGAACACATTCAAAGCCTGGAGGTGGCCGGAGTCTCTGCCTGTTTTAATCCCCGGGTCGTTGTCTTTCTGTAGTGATGTGCTGCAGTCAGCTGAGCGGGACAAGGATGATGCCTTACCTCAAGCTACGAACAACCATCCTCCAGAGGATACACAACCACAAGAGATATCCACTGCCATGGTACACACACACACACAC